GGACCATATAACTCCCCAGAGGTGAAGCCAAAGAGGCTTGATCGCCACCTGGTGGCTGGCTGCAGTGGAGGACCAAATTAAAAAGGCAATGTACACATCAAATAACATTTTATCAAAAATGTTTTCTGTCATTTTAGGTGGTTGTTATCACATTGATGCATGTTGAATGGTAAATGGTTTGTATTTATATAGCACTTTTCTAGTCTTGATGACCTCTCAAAGTGCTTTACAGTACAATTTGCCATTCACCCATTCACACACTCACATTAATACAGCAGCACTTTTGTTTTCTATAAGGGCAATTCAGGGTTCAATATCTTGCCCAAGGACACTTCGGCATGCAAATGTGGGAGACTGGGATACCACTGACGACCTTCTAGTTGCTCTACCCCCTCAGCCGCTCCTTGAAGAGTTCATTCTTCTGTTCTAATTAGTCATATTGGGTGAAACGCCATGATTGACAGCTGATACTCCATAGCTGATCCTCCAATCACTACTGCACAGACTCTGGCTCCAAATGTACAAGATGGCAGCTTTTGTATCCGGGGAATTTTGGCTTCACTTCTAGATAGTGGGAGGAAGTGGAGACACTACTACCTCACGAAAAAAAATTATGGTTTTCATATAGTCATTGCTTAAACAGCATTTTTCTTTCTGCAACAAAAGGAACATTTACAGATGATCGCACACAAAGGTAAATCACACAAGTACCTCTGCGCAATAGGTACTTCAGCTCCAGCCTTTCTGCAGGAGGAAGAGTAAGCTACAGCTACAGTGGGCTCAAAGTTGTAATCAGAGCCCAGAGCCGTCCCCTCTGCGCTGGGACTCTGGAGTGGTTTGAGAGCGAGCCAGACATTCCAGAAGAGATCGCCGCCCAGACACCCAGCAGCCGCCAGTCAGCAACAAATTCCAGAATAGCTGCGCTGTCGCTAAAAATAGTCATCTGGACAGGAGAGGATGGAGAGCTGGTTGTGTGGAGGGGGGGGCTGGATGGAGGATGAATGATAGAGGAGTGGAAGCTGCGCAGGAAAGGAGTGTGGTTTATTCCATTCCATATCCAGTCACAATGTTATCACAGCGTTGCAGAGGAAAAGAAGTCCTGCAGGGATTTGAGTTAGGGAACCTGCGTGAGTGCTATTCAGAGAGAGCAAGAGAGAATCAGAGAGAACTCGTAAAAACGCGCACATGCGAGGGTGCTCATGCATTTGTGTGTATTTTAATGTGCAAAAACATGGAAAGCAGCCTCTCAGACTGTTATTCTAAAACAATGTGTCAGCTAACTGAGGGAACACACACTCCACTGTACTCAGGATTTTCTTTAGGCCCGGCCCTCTGTTTATTTTTCCTGCAATGAACGGGCAGCTCAGTTTACAACAGCCACCCTAAACCTTTGCTGTGGAACATCCTGCCTGCAACAGCAGCCAGACACGCCAGGGCAGCACTAACGTTGCCAAAATCCTCCAAATCTTTTTGCTCAATTTGCAGAATATTCCCCTGCTTTCTTCATATGAAGCAATTCTTGCTGGAGACAAAAGGAGTTGTAAACTGATTTGAAGCGTATGCCAGTTCCTCAACTTTCATGTCCCAGATCCCTCTGCGTGTGATGGTATTTATTCCATGCAGCTCAAGTGGGTTGGAGATGGAGAGGCTTTCTTTTTAAGTCTGTGCTTCAAGCTAAAAGTAGAGTATAGCCTATATCCTCCAACATTATGCAGACTTCCATGTCCGCAAGGCATATAGAGTTAGGGTCATGCTAAAGAACCGGATGGGGGTATTCAGGGGAGAGGTATGTGGCGGTTTTGGCATTTTGAATGTGTAGTTTGGTATATGCTGCCTCCATCAATGCACCCCCACCCTCCACCTCCAGGCTCACCTTCTGCACATGAAGGGAGGAGGGTAGCGGAGGGAAGCAGTTCAGAGGGTCTAGCAGCTGGACTTTATTTAGGGGTCAAAAAGTGAAACAGAAATTGTTCTGAAGACATAAAAAAATCCCTTTGAAACTCAGATCATATCAGTCAGGAGTTCAGCCATCAATGCCTCAAAAGAAGTTCTTGTTTTTTTCTCCATAGCACCATCTGCACCAGCTTTAGCATATGACTGACAATTAATAACTGTATAAGCACTGAAATTGCTGCACAATTGCTCCTTTATTGTTTGTCCTCAGCTTGTAGTATTAGATCAGCTTTGACTTAGACAACTGGAATTTGCATTAGAATGAAAAGAGAGACACACTCGTTCCAAAGATAATTATCTTGTTCCTTTTGAGGAAATCTCCCAAAAGAAATAAAGGCTTCAGATGATGATTGATGTAATTTTCTGTTATTCACTGTCAGAATGACAAAAATTAATATTGATGTAGGAGGGATTTATAAATAGAAGGCTTAAATGCTGCTTTTATAGCTCAGACTAGCTGGCAAAGGCCAAATTTAGACTTGGGATAAGAGTTTCAATGTGTGATTGAGGAAACCTAAATCCTGCTCCGCAACATATTGTAGAGGCATTTGATGTCGTCGTCTTCCAAGGCCCGCAGTCTGCGTCTGGCCAGAATGAACTAGGGGTGCTGTCCTACTCATCAGTACCTAATCCCTGAAAGACATGCAGAGCTTCCAGCCACACACACCCGCTCCCCCTGCCTCGCAAAAATGTGGATCAAATTAACCCGGCAGCAGCAATGTTCTCTCTCGACAATCAGTTGACTCTCCAAGTCCTAAAAACAGACAATCTTGTTTCTTCTCCGAGCCAGACATGAACTGTGTTCTCTGCTTCATGTTGTCTGCTGCTGTTTGTTTGACTCTGTCAGTTTCCCTAATGACAGAAAAATTGCTTCTCTCCAGAGAACTGAGTAGATTGTAGTAGTCTACTTTTTTTATTATAACCAGCAGGTGTGCAGGGTCCAAAAACTCAATACTATGTGCTGAAGTTGCAATATTAACCCTTTTGTCATACATCTGCGCTGAGGATTTGTTTTATATTTTCCCAGCTTTAGTCATGTGAACCACTATGTACCTGTTGGTTTTGGCATGTGTCGTCTCATTAGTGCTCAGAGTTATCCATCATGTAACTGGCAGCCCGCTCTTGATTGGGATTGACTGTTGCGGCAGTTTCCTTCAATGGGAATGGGCTGTCAATCAACAACTCGGTGCTTGTTCAACAAAAACTGAGCGTTCCTCTTGTCCGTGAGGATTCCAGCATGAACACAGGCCCTTTTCTTCTGCTGTGTACAAGCCTTCGAAAATGTTTGTAGTTTTATCCTTCATGGAGCGAACAAGGTCAGTTACTTGTGTGTCACAGTGTCACAGCGACATGATCGACATTCGTTCTATCAACTAAGTCACCAAACGCCAAGGAAGCAGAGCTTATCTGATGTGAGCCCATGAGAGAAAAAGAGAGGTTAACAGGAACGAAACATAAGAGCAAGAAAGTCGTCATGATGTCATGCTAAGCGTGTTGGTTTAGTTTCTGTCTAGGTTTATGTGCTAAGCTAAATCAAATGAAACCAAAGCCAAGCAGTTAGTGATGCAAGAGGCCTTAAGAAATATGTCTCCACTTCTGTGTCATAATCATAGACTATATATAAAAATGATGAAGCCAAAGCAACTTAATCGCCCCCTAGTGGCTGGCTGCAGTATAGGTCATAAACCATGCCTCCTCCATGTTAGTGGGTGGGACACGGACTAAACCAATAGCTCAGAATACATGTCAGTTGGTTTAAATGACTCATTTAATACTATAAAAACAGAGTGAAATGATGATTGATGGCTGATACTGACTTGCAATTGGTAAAGCACATGTATCAGTAGGATCTCGTAGCACGACCACTTCACGATCACTAATCTGGCTCTAAATAACGTCTTCAGTGCAATGGCAGCTCTTGTATGCAGGATATATCCTTTCCTTGACAAAATCTCACATTTCTATTGTGGATTGCTGACACATCCCTCAAATCATGACTCCCTTGATAGCAAAACAACAACTTTAAGAAAACCTTTTGTTCTGACCAGTGAAAGAGCAGGATGTTGGTGCCTTTAGTGTGTGAAAATCAATGTGTGCGACCACTAATGAGCTTGACAGGGTAACAGGACGAATGAAACTAAAGTTGTGCCTTTCACCACATTTTGGAATATGACATGTTGGGAACAGACCAGGCATACGAACGGAGAGGGGAGATTGTTCTGCAGAAATTATATGAAATTTTTCTGTAGATGTTTTGATTTGCGTTTCCACAGCGACAACTACTTACTACTGGAATTCATTGTAACCAAAATAATTCAAGCCGTCCATAACCACTGTGATCTGTAAGGAACAATAGTATTTTAGAGCTGCCTCTTAAGCCCACAGAGAATTACTTTTTAATGCTTACAAAAAGAGTTTGGGTGGAGTATCAGTTAATTTAACTTTAACTACAGTAGCTAAGGCTGTGTGGAAACATTGTCTAATTCCAGGGCCATATTACTTAAAACCACAAGGTTTTAACAAAAGCTATTCAAATGGAGAAATGACTTTTCCAATAGTTTTGCATTTTGCCTCGAACCCTTTAGCCCCACGAATAAATGTAATCCATTATGTTAGGCAGGAGACGAAAACAGGACACTGTTGGAATCTGCATCTGCACTGCTGCCCTCCTTTATGCATCCATATAGGTTTTTGGGTCACACATGTTTAAAAAGGAAAAGAAATTGGGACAATCTCTCCAATTATAGTTTTCCCTGCACATGTCCTGCTGTAATAAGAGGAGCAGTGGAAAGTGGGAGTAGTTTATCCAATTCAACCACTGGATCTAACCAGAAATAACTTGTCCAAATAATATGGTTCATAATAAAAGCGTCTTCCAAGTTTTAAGTGACCATTGGAAGTTAAGCTGGAAATAAATGAAAAGGAAAGTAGTTTTTCCTTCACCACTTCAAGGGGACATCCTAATTAAAGTGAAATGGTACTCATATTAGTGAATGTTTAAAGCTCTGGAGTAACAGAACAACACAAAACATAAAAACAAACACGTGTAACTTTCAAGATCCATTTATTTGAGTTGATACAGTACTACAGAGGCTTTGTGTTGAGTAGAAATACACCCAAAATTGATGAGTTAAGACATTTTACAAGATTTGAGGAACCCCTATTGATTTCTTACAAATGCATAATTGACCACTGGCTTCACAATGAGATGATACCACTCTAACTTTGAACAAACGTGTTCGTGTGCAGTACGTTCTGAGCACAACACACTGTCTGAAGCTGGCCCAAGCATTGACACGGAGCACTTAACAAATTAAATGGCTTGATCACCAATAAATACAAGTATAAAAACACATTGATAATAATTTTCATTATCAAAAAAAAAGAGGAAAAAAAACGATAATAAAAGATACCAAAGGCACACAACTTAATCCACCTTGGCAGTCCAGAATCACCAACAGAAAAAAAACATAAAACCAAAAAGTGTGGCAAAGCCAACCATAGTAATGAGCCATAACAAAAATAATAATACTTAAATAACATAATAATACTAATTTATTATTATTGTCATAACAATATCCAGTCAAGTTTTCCTATGATTAGACTTTCTGCTAACTAACAGATATGCACCATTTCCAGTTTGGCAGAGTTAAAGTTTCATCTTCACTTTTTTTTCCATTCTCGAGATGTTGTTCCAGCATTTTGGACTTTTTGGATCTCCTGTGCTTTGGTAGAGGTTATGTTGGAGTTCAATTTTCACAAGGTCACCTGTCCACATATGAGTACATATGTTTTCATTTTCCCCTATTCAGTTTTACATTTTAATTCTAAAAAGTCAGTTTTTGCCATTTGGATCTGGTCAATGGGTTTCACTAACTACAACAAAACAGAGGGGAGTTTTTCCAATTTTTCCTGTTTTCTGGAGAGACATTTTAGCACTTCGAGGAAGGAAGTATTTTCTGCCATAACATAAAGCAATACAAAGTTTCTTATATTTTGGAAAATCAAAAACAGAAGCATAATAAAACAAAATACTAACATAGTATAATTTTCTCACTGTAAATCCAGTTGACAATAAAAATGCAATACAAAAAGGCAATAAAATGCAATATAATACGCAGCGGGTCTTTCATTAGAATCAATACCCAGGACCTTGCCTTCACACGAGCCGACCACTGAAAAACATTCAACATGTGATCTCTTTTCCTCGGGGGTCATCCACTGCATGGTTTTAAATCCAAACAATCTGATATCTAGGATGATGCCAGTCACCGTTTCCCTCTTCACTTTGTCACTGCTGTTGAAAAGCGTAACACACTTTCTAAGGCCATGCAGGACACACAAACTCACACACTGACCCTCAAGAACAACAGCCTCCGGCCTCTCGCAGCCAACGTGGCGATGATTTCATTCACCGCTGGGGCGTCTCACGTGAAATTAAAATCCGAAGGGATCTCATTAGTCCCGATATTATTTCCCCTGAATCTTGTCAAAGCTTCTTCACATCTTTGGTATAAAAACATTCCATCTACACTTTCTACTTACTTTTCTTTACTCTCACTCATCTACATGACAATCCCTTCCCAAAAAGAAATCTATCTCATTGACCTCTCCTGTTTTCCAGGAGAAGCCCTCTCTAATCTACAGCACCGCTCCGTGCATCAGTCTTTCACACTTTTCTCACCTCCCTCTAGCTATAAATCTCTACTCTCTGCTGCTCTCTTACTCACAAATGAAAACAATAGCTGGCTAATTGTGCTCGGTTGAAATAATGGACTAGTATACACAGCTGGAGGGCTCAGCGCGGACCGCAGATCCCACCTGTGCTGAGTCGGACTGGAGCTGATAGCGATCTCGAGCACCGACATGTCTCCAGCCTTTTGTCTGAGGAATTCGCTGTGTCATCAGAAGGCTAAAAAAACACCTTACTAGGCTCTTTTCAAAGCACTCCGGGTGAAATATTAACCAGTCCAACAACTGAAAACACCTTACTTATCTTTGGTAGAAAACAAAAATCTCACACTAAAGATCCTACTTGATCAGGTAGCCCCGTAAATGTGAAAAGGTTAAAGGAGCACCAGGCACATTCCAGGACTGTGAGATGGTGTCTGTGCCATCTCCCTCCACCACATGTAGGTGAGTCCCTGCAGACCTCTGGTGCTGTCGGCTAATCTGTGTTCAACCAAGCAACCTAAACTGCTGACAAACTCAACTATGGGCTTAGACACTGACAAAGAACACAGAGGAGTTTGTTCTGAGGCTGCCTGCAGATGTTGGCATATCTGTGTGTGAGTGTGAGAAGGACCGGGACGGGGGGGGGGAGACGAGACCGTTTGATCTCAACTGTCTCAGTTTGACCTTTGAACCACAACATAAGTAAAGCTAGTCAGCTGTGCGGCGAAGGCCCTGGGTCTCTCCACATTCACAAACAACATGAAAAAAAAAAAAAAAGCACAACTGGTGACAGGTTGGCCTGGCTTTTCCCTCCACTTTAAGGAAATGACATACATAATTTTTTTATTATGAATCAAAAAAGGCACTTCCTACATAGTCCATAGTATCATACACATATATAGGGCATACGCTTTTATGAAGGTATAATCGCCTGCGTGTCTTACATGCACAGACGTAGTTATATATGCTGAGTATATATATGTTTCTCATCACCGAGTAACATAATTATATATGTCAGTTCCACACATAGAGTTGGAGACTCTTCCAGTAACAGCCAGCGCCCACCAGTTTAGCACATAAAAGTAAAAGCTACGCAAAACATTATTAATAAATAATCAGCAATGTCAGTTTTTTTTTTTTTGGAACAAGACCCTGGTTTGTTTTTCAAAGGAAGTAAAGATCACAAAAGCATGTGCTCTGTGTGAGTTTTAAGGTGCTTTTGTAAACTCAAACTCAAAGATTGGGTGGTGTACGAGAAGAGCCAACCAGTGTCTGGTCGCCGCGTTTGTGATTCTAACTTGCCTTCTTGCTGAATATGTAAACATGTTGAACACAGCAAAGTCTATGGGCGGGCCGAGAAAGCAGACTGGGTGGCATTCTCTCGTGCCAGCTCCTTCTCCTCCTCTCTCCTGTTCACAAAGCCCTAACTGAATTTCCTCTGGCCAGAGAAGTGCACCTAAGTGTGTGCATGTGTGTGTGTATGTATGTGTGTGTGTGTAGATGTACATCATTTCCTTCAAGACTTTGGTCCTATTTTGAGAAGCCGCAACTTTCAAAAAAGGTGTATCCCAGTAACGCACTGGTCGTTAATGCCGCCCACATACATCTGTGCACACACATACACGCACACACTCAGGTTTAACTCCCTCTGCTTCTTCTCTCTCTGCCACCCGAGTGTTAGGTGAGATTGCCGCTGATGTCCAGGGCTTGCTGGTACACCTGAGTCATGTCCTCCAGGTCCCCCAGCAAGGAGAAGCTGCCATTGTCCCCCGGGGAGCCTTTCGTTTTGGCGCAGCGGCTGAACTTGGGTCCCTGGAGAGGCGGGGCTGCCTGGAAGCCCTTGAAGTTGGCGAGCTGCAGCAGGTTTTCGGCTGAGACACAGGCCCTGATGTTCGGGCGGAGGTGCGGGGTGGAAGGATGCCACTCTGCCCCGCTGAGGGAGCTGGGCGACAGGGACAGGACGGAGCTGTCCTCCCCGACTATGCTGGAGGGCCGACTTTGACTGCGTGACAGACCGGAATCAGTCGATGGAGGAGGCTCGCCATGAACTCCGGCCACTGCTGCTGCTGAAGGAGGCCCGCTGTAGGTGGAGTACTTGCCATTTCGCTTCAAGATGCCTTTTCTCCCCATCATTCTCTTGGGTGGGGAGGTGGCGAGTAGAGACATACTGGCCCCTCCTAAAAGCTCGGAGGACTCGCTACGCTCCGGGGAGGAGTAGTACCCTGATTCCCGCTGTTGGTTGTTCTTCAAGATGCCTTTCTTGGGCAGAGAGGGCACTATCTTCGCTGGTGAGCCTCCTCCCAGAATCGGCTCCTCTTCCTCTCGGTCTGGACTTGAGTCCTCCCCTCCCCCTTCGGCTTGTTGAGGCAGCGCCGTCTGGCCCAACTCTGCTTCCTCCAGACAGGCCGCCTGCTGCTCTTCAGTGACCCTGGTCTTCAAGATGCCCTTGGGTCTCTTCAGACCCGGCTTGTCCTCTGCCCCGCAGTGCGTCTGTCCTCCTTCGACATTTTCCTTCTTGGACTTTTTGGGCCTCTGGCGCAGCAGCTGGGGCATGGCCCCAGCTTTAGCTCCAGAACCACGTGGCTCAGTGCGGTTCTGCCAGTCGATGAAGCGGGCCAGCATGGGCGAGCCTCCGTGGTCGCGTTGGGTCTCGCAGTCACACACACTGTTCTTCCAGCCCCAGTTTACCCACCAGTGATTGGCTATGTCCTCCACTGTGGCCCGGCGCTCAGGGTTCACCATCAGCATCCAGCGGATCAGTCCACGGGCATCTGGCGACAAACAACAAGAACATCTGTAAACTGTCTCATACAACACTTGACATTAAAATACTTGCAATCTGATAACAGTATACTGTTTGCTGTACTGAGCACTGAATGGAGAGGTGGAGTGGAGAAAATCTGTAAAAAACTGTGGAGCGTGTCAGTTGCGTTCACACATACGCCTCCTCTGAGGAAAATACAGAGGGACTGTGAGGTTCAGTGCTTGTCTGAAAGCAGCTATATAAACACCTATAAAAAATTATTTTTAATGGTTCCTTTAATGAATCATCACAGATTTGACTTTTGATTTGAATTTTTTATTGTAAACCACAAAATTCCCTGTAAAATAAGACAACAAACAGTGAACAAATTCACACATCCATGTGTCTGATGGTTTAGCAACATTCAGAACTGAATCATAAAAGTTTTATAGTTGCTCTGTTTCTAATAGAAAATGAACTTTAAAGGTCATTTTAGTGTAAAACAATACAAAGAAATGGTGTTTCTCACTGTCACATGTATAGTTCATGACATTATTTGTATTAAGGGCAGGTGTGTTTTCCTGCCATGACTAAAAACACAGGGTCAAAGGTTCCAGTCGTACCTGAGGACTGAGTGGGCTCTTTGTAATCGCCGTTGCTAATCTGGCGAATGAGGTTCTTGTGGTCTCCCCCATCGAATGGCATGGTCCCGTAGACCAGGGTGTACAACAGCACGCCCAGGGCCCAGCTGTCCACCTGGTGAAAATGAAAACATGGTCATGAGCTTGTTCATTCAGTCACACACAAAACATACACAGCCCATGCCATGAGGTGTATATACTGTGTGTAGCAAGCGAATAATAGAGACTGGAGTTATTCAATAAAAATATCCCTGTCTTGTTTTATTTAGTAATTCATTGCATTCGCTTTGCTAAGCACTATGAGCACTTTTTCACACTAACAACTCACATGATAGAACATTTTAGTGAAAGTTTGGCTTTTGTAGATATCATGTCAAACTCTAGTTCTCTGGTGGGAAATGTTTCGTTTTCACACACACATCCCCTACCCCTTCACACTCCCATTCTCCCCTGCTCCGTCAGAAAGAAGCAAGAACTTTCCAACCACCAACCCAATGCAATGGGGCTTTCTAAGTTAGCGGTTACATAAGACTTTGTGTCTGGGGCATGAGGAGGAGCAGCAGCCACGGGGGGAGTGGGTGGGAGTGGAGACGGGGTAATGAGTCCAGCAGAGATGGCAGCGTTGTGATATCCTGAGCTCCTGAAGACTGAGCAGAGACGGGCAGCCATTCAGTGATCAGCAGATGACCCATCTTACTGTGTGTGTGTGTGTGTGTGTGTGTCACAGAGAGGTAGATGTACTGTGTTTGTGTGTGTTGACTGCGGTTAGGGGAGTATGAGATGTCCTGAGGAATGTGTGGCTGATGGCAGCTCTGAGGCTATAAGACATAGTCTAGGAAGTGGAAATCAGATAGGACCAGTTAAGGAACTGGTGTACTTCCTCTGAAGGGCTCTGGAACCCACATCAAAAAATGGTTCACTCTCCTGCTGCGATTGGTCCATTCCTGAGGGCGAGACAGGGCACGCACTATTGTTGTGTTCTATTTTTGCTGCCTGTGTTTGCTGTAATTTGTGGCCTCACCCCAAACTGAGGTTCTGTAATTTTGATCGCAATCGGACTGCTGTCGTTTTTAGCACTCTCGAGTAAATTATAGTGAATTACGCAAAATTGAACGGTTGGACTTGAAATCTAAATCTAAAAATGCAACTTTTTTTTCCTCCCTCCGCTGCTTTGTCTTATGGAACTGATGCGATTTCAGAGGCGACGCCCTTCAGAGCAACTTTCCTGGAATTTCCAGATAAGTGGCTTTGAGGAGATGTTTTCACTCTTTCTTTCACCAAAACTATTTGATTTTGACCGTGGCGCTCATTTCTATCCCATTAAGCAGAGGAGGAAAATGAGCAAAAAGTATCCTCCAGTTCCTCACTTCAAAGACGCCAGACATAGGAAGGGGAGGACTGGGGAGGGATGCACAGGGTTTCTGAGCCGACCCACTGTGGGGTTGCCGGAGAGACCTCCCTCTGACTGGAAACGAACACTAATCCCATCAAAGAACCAGAAACTAAAGCTTACCCACCACTTTGTGTACGGACTGTGTGATGATGACGACAATCACAAATGAGACAACGATGATAAAAGCTACATAAGGTGAGAACCAGGAAGTATGATAATGATAATGATGGCTACACAAAAGGAAATCAGGTCCTTGAAATTAAATTCTAGGGATTTAGTCGGTTCGGTTCAGTGGGCCTCACCTCTGGCCCATGGTACGGTCTCCCATTGACGATCTCTGGCGAAGCGTAGAGCGGGCTGCCGCAGAAGGTTTGCAGCAGCTTGTCCTTGTGGTAGAGGTTCGACAGCCCAAAGTCAGCAATCTGTGGAAACGGGTACGTGTGATTTTTGGTTTTTACACCAGCCTCATGATTGCTAATGTCATGGCAAGAGCATTTGAGGTTTGTCCTATGCATCACAGATCAAGGACAAACCTTAATATTACAGTTTTCATCCAGTAGCACATTTTCCAGTTTTAGATCCCTGTGCACCACTCCATTCTGAAACACAAAGAGAAATACAACACAATGATTGATGGATGTACCAACGTCTTCATTCACGAGAGATGGATCCAAGTGTTATGCAGTGGATCCTTTGTAAAAACAGATGATTTACTCTGACAGCTTGTGGCTCTCGGGGGAAATCAAGGCAGCCTGTTGGTGTAGTACTCTTTAATTGCTCCTGTCCCCTCTGGGGTCTTTATGCTGACATCTGCTGCGATTTTTTTTTTCAGATCCACTCACATGTGTCACATAAAGTTGAGCCTTTAATTACCACCATGTATGAATTATGTTCTCACAGCATTTATGGATTAAAAAACAACTAAGCTGTTAAAAAAAACCCAAAGAATTAACTTGTGGTATGCAGACAGACGGATCACAGCTCAGATGTGGACTGACTTCACTTCTGCCCCCTGGTTGTGCTCTGCGTGGCATCTCCTATTGGTTGCGCCCTGGCAGGGAATCTCATGCGCGCCTGACCCTGATTGGTGGATACAAAAGAAGAAATAGCTGCTTGCTTTTGGTGTCAGTGACTCACATCACCCCACCCGGTGGGAGGTTGTGCATGGTAGTGATGATTCATTGCGCACGGCAGTCTGGGACTCTCCTATCTGAGGAGCATGACATCATCTCTATCTCCAGCTGGGAAAGAGTGTGACAGGAGGAGACCATCCTACCAGAGAGCATGGGAGCTTGGGAGTCAATGGGARTTAGTGAGGTGTGGAACGAGGGTTGACGAGGGGCGTGGCTGAAAAACATCTCCAGGGGGAAAAGCTTCGGGGGGGTATCTTGGGACCATCAGCTTGTCAACAGCTGAGGTGCAGAATTAAGGCTTGTTTGGTGCAGAGGGCATAAGCATGAATTAAACTGGCCTGTGTTCCATCTCCACTCAGAAACAGATGACTCCCTTCGAACCAGCACGCCAAGAAAAGCATATGGAGTAGGGCCTGCAGATTAACTGGCTATATGACTGAGTGCAGAGGTGCATGGTTAATGTAACAAAAAGCCTGGAAAATATAGACTGTGTGTATGTGTGCTTGTGTGAGAGAGGAAAACAGATATTTAAGGTGAGCAGGAAATGAATGTGCGTGTGTTTTTCTGTATGTAAAGTACAGTATGGGTTTTCTCACCTTGTGGCAGTGATGTACGGCGGAGACTATCTGTCTGAAGAAGTGTCGCGTCTCTCGCTCGCTCAGGCGCCTGCGCTCGCTGATGTAGTCGTACAGCTCGCCCTTGCTGGCGTACTCCATCACGATCACGATCTTGTCCTTGTTCTCAAACACTGAGAAAATATAAGAAAACAATTGGGAGTTCACTGATATGTACTTTCAGGGAAAAAACATCTACATTAAGAGCAGGAGAGGTGGGAGGACAATCTTTAAAGTCGTGCCATGTTCGGTCTATCACGTTGAAATAACAAACATGCGTTGTTATGTAAAAAGGAGGTTCACAGTTCACTCACACACACACACACACACGCCTGCTCAAGTTTTGGAGCAGGAATCCAGATTTCAGAGGAGCACATTACATCTATACACTTCTCCCAAGGTTACATCACCCCAAACCCCACCTCATGAGTTTGGCTCCTTTACAACATCGCTGG